TGCGTGCGTGCTTTTGAATTCGGTATGTACGTTTTGTATATTGTTTGTATCTTTTGTATGTATGTATATATATATGTATGTGTGTGTTTTTGCATACATGTTGATCATTTTGTATATGCATGTTATGTTTTTCTGAGTGTTTGTTTGTATATTTGTGTGTATGTGTACGTACGTATGTTTGTGTGTGTATGTGGGTTAGTGTGTATGTGGGTTAGTGTGTGTGTGTGGTGTGTGTATGTGTGTGTGTGTGTGTGTGTTTGTTGCTTGGCCTTCTCCGGAACATATGTTAGAGTTCGTTTGCATTTTTGGTAAAAATAACAGAAGAGTTGATGGTGATAATTTGCAAGATGAAGAAGAAGATGATGATGATAATTGTGGTGATGATGATGATAATGAAATAGGGCTGACAGCCCTGTTGATGATGACTATGGTGATAACAACAACGTTTAAATTTTATTTGAGGAGTGATTTAGATGGTTGAAAAGAAAAATTGTAGTGAATCACTCTTCTACCTACCTACCTACCTACCTACCTATCTGTCTGTCTGTATCTTTTTATTCTTTTTTATTTCTCTCTCATTCTTTCCCACTCTTTCTCTCTTTCTCTCTTTTTTTCTAAATTGCTGTCTCTTTTCTATCTTTCTTTCTCTCTATTTATCTTTTTATCTGTATTATATAATTCATTTTTTTAATTTTACCTTTATCTCCCGTCCACTTTTGCACTTTTGCCTTCTCTTCTTCTTTTTCCCTCCAATTTTTTGCTCTCTCTTTTTTTTCTTTCTCTCTCTCTTATCCACTCTTTTTCTCTCTCCTCTCTTTCTTTCTCTCTCTCCTCTCTTTCTTTCTCTCTCTCTCCTCTCTTTCTTTCTCTTTCTCTCTTTTTTCCACTCTTTCTCTCTTCTCTCTCCCTCTCTTTCTTTCTTTCCTTTATTCAATCTCTTTCTTAAATAGCAGGGTATATCTATACAGTGATTTACAATGCTGAATGATAAATTTTCAATCGTAGGAACGAATGAGTAGGGACGGGAGTGAGAGAGCATTGAAGAGAGAAGGATAAAAGAATGTATAAATGTAAAAACGAACAAACAAAATATGAATGAATGAATGAATGAACGAACGAACGAACGAACAAATGAATAAATGAATGATTGAATGAATGAATGAACGAATGAATGAATAAATGAATGAATGAACGAACGAACGAACGAACGAATGAATGAATGAACGAACGAATGAACGAATGAGCGAATGAACGAACGAATGAATGGGTGAACGAATGAATGAATGAACATAAAACGAACGAATGAATATACTGAAAGTTAATTGAAGTAATGAACGAATTATATAGAGATAAAGAGAATAAAATTAAATAATTTTTCTCAAAGCACTTCAAAGATAGTTTTCAAATAAAAGTCATTTAATTAAGAGTCACTTTCGCAAAATCTTTCAAACTTAATTATTACTAGCAGTAGTAGTAATAGTACTAGTAGTAGCAGTAGTAGCCACATTAGCAGCGCAGTAGTAGTAGTAGTAGTAAAAGTTGTAGTAGCAGCAGCAACAGTAGTGGTAGTAGTAATATTAGTCAAACGAGTAATAGTAGTAACAGTAGTAGTAGTTGTAGAAGTAGTAGTAGTAGTAGTAGTTGTAGTAGAAGTAGTAGTAGTAGTAGTTGTTGTAGTAAAAGTAGTAGTAGTGGTAGTAGTAGTAGAAGTAGTAGTAGTGGCAGTGGTGATATTATTTGTAGTATTTTTTATTTTTTATATTATTTTTATAAACGATTAGCGGATGAATAATGTCTGGAGCACTAGAGATAAGAACTGATGGTTGGATGGATAAGTGGAATGAATGAATGAATGAATGAATAAATGAATGAATGAATGAATGAATGAATGAATGAATGAATGAATGAATGAATGAACAAACGAACGAACGAACGAACGAACAAACGAATGAATGAATGATTGAAGGAATGAATGAAGGAATGAATGAAGGAATGAATGAAGGAATGAATGAAGGAATGAATGAAGGAATAAATGAAGGAATGAATGAAAGAATGAATGAATGCGTGAATGAATGAATTATCAAATGACTACATAAAGATGATTGAATTAATGAATGAATGAATCAATCAATCAATCAATGAATCAATCAATCAGACAATAAATGAATGAAAGAATGAATGATTGAATGAATGAATCAATCAATCTATCAATTATTTATAAATGAATGAGTGCATGAATGAATGAATGAACAAATAAATGAATAAATTGTTATTTATCTCATTATTATTATTATTATTATTTTAGATAATAATTTGAAAAGAGACTTTCCAGCTAACCGATAGACCCATATATACATCCGGACATCAATAGGCCAAAAGCAATCATTAACATTTCTTTTAACATTTTTATTGAAATTTTTAAACTGATTAATTATTCAGTTAATTCATTAATTAACCACTCAATTAAACAATTAATTAATCTATTATGAATGAGTTTATTATTTTTATTATTATTTTATTATTATTTTTTTCAATTTTATTCACATAGTTATCGCACATGTTCAAGTTAATTCTTTGAATTTTACTAGTTTGAAAGAAAATTCTGGTAAGTTAAAATCGAATATCATCAACAAATAACCAGTTACAAAGCATTATACATACAGTAAAACATTTGTATCTTATGTATCAAACACACAAACAAATATACAAACATACATACATAGAACGAACAATTGCATTGCATACAATCATACAAAGACAAACGTACAACCTCACACACATATCAGCACCTCAAACAATCGCATGTATATATACCAAACAAATATACAAAACAAACATAAAAACAATCAGAACAACAAACCAACAAACAAGCATACAAACAAACAAACAAACAAAACATACCAACAAACTACAATATTGTTTATGCTCAAGCACAATTCGGCCATACATGCAAAAAGGTTTTTATATTAACGTATCCGTCAAGCAAGTTATGTGCATACACACACATACATACATATATTTATATATACATATACACACATATATATATATGTATATATATGTATATATATATATATATATGTGTGTGTGTGTGTGTGTGTGTGTGTGTGTACTTGCATTTCTTTTTCATTTTGTTTTTTCTATTTGCATATATGTGTATGTATATGTGTGTTAATGTGTGTATATATGTTTGTAAAAGTGTGTGTGGGTGTCTGAATATGTGTGTGTGTGAGTGTATGTGTGTCTGAGCATGTGTTTGTGTGTGTTTGTATAAATGAATGAAAGTGTGGTGTGTGTGTGTGTGTGCGTGTGTGCAGAGGAATGAATGAATGAAATGTGATTAAATAGTGGATGGAAAGAAGACACATTGGACGGATCAATATGTTTGCCTGCCTTAGTTGTGGACTCTTTGTGTGGTAATGTGATGATGTTGTTGATGTTGTTGTTGATGTCATGAGGTTTTTGTTGGTGTATGCCGTATACGCGTTTTGTATGTGCGTGCAAATTTATATATGCGTCGTTGTCATTGTGGTTGGTGGTGGTGAAGCTACTATCGTTTTTTTTTATGTAATTCTCATTGCTGTGATGATGTTGTTGGTGTTGTAGTCTACTAAATATTGATTTGATGATGTTGTTGTTGTTGTTGTTACTGTTTTGGTTGTTTAGGGGTGTGGCCTAATGATGTGATGTTGTAACGTGCTGTTAATGTTGTTGTCAAACGGAATAATAACTTCTAGAAAATGAAATGCTTGTGAGAAAGTTAAAATTATACGAAAGAAAAAGATAACACAAAAAAAGAAGAGAGAGAGAGAGAAAGAGAGAGGGAGAGAGAGAGAGGAAGATAGTGGATGAGTAAAATGTGTTTGTTGAACATACTACACACACAGTAGCAGACGTAGACGGCTTAAATCTTATTAATCTTACCAAGGATAAACATACAATAAGAAATGTTCAACAACCTGACCAAGATGATGATGATGATGATGGTGATGATGATGGTGGTGATGATGATGATGGTGATGATGATGATGGTTATGATGACGCTGGTGGTGATGATGGTGGTGATGATGATGGTGGTGATGAGGACAATGTGGCAGCTATCCCAACAAAAGAGTAGCAAAATTGATTGAAAGTCATCAATCAATAACTTTTAATTGGGCCAAAAACATTATCATCATCATTATCACTATCGTAATCATTATCATAATCGTCGTCATCATCATCATGTACAGACACACACGCACGCATACACACATATACACTCACATACACATACAAACATACATATACGCATACATACACGCATACAACGGTAATCCAATAACACCTCTGATTGCATACAGACAAATACAAATGTATACAAATTATACCTTGGTACGTCAAATAATACCGCAAGCACTATATACATCAAAATTCGGATGTCGAAAATAAATGTATGCAAATAATGCTGGTATATTAGATTACGTACATACATACATACATACATAAAAACATACATACATACATACATAAAAACATACATACATACATACATAAAAACATACATACCTACATATATACAAACATACATACATACAAACATACATACATACATACATACACACAAACATACATACAAACATACATACAAACATACATACATACAAACATACATACAAACATACATACAAACATACATACAAACATACATACAAACATACATACATACACGCATGCACGTACACTTGAAGCCTGTCTGGTCAGGCCTTCCCTTGCAAATGCATCAATAAATGCTGTTGCTCAAATATCTGTGACGGTGATGACGATGACGTCATAATGATGACGACGACGATGACGTCATAATGATGACGACGTCGATGATGACGGCGACGATGTTTTTAACCTACAGATTTAAAAGCAAACGTAATTTGCGATGCTCCAGTTCGAAATCGAGAGTTTTTTTAATCAAATATTTACTCTGTAACAATTACAAAACAACGAAAATTTGACAATTTTTAGAGAAACCTAACTGCTCTTTATTAATCCATGCCGGGACTTCCATTACAAAATTGGACATTCTCATGTTTAGAAGACTGAGTACCACATAAATATGATAACAAACAAACAAACAGTAAAACAAACAAACAAATAAACAGCCTAATTCACTAAACTAACGCCACATTTCAAAAAAATCTAATCCTATACCTTCTAACCCTATTTTGTATCTCATCTCACTTCGTCTATAGACAACAAAAGCCACGTCTCGAGACCAGAAAATCGCGCAACATGGCACTACTACTAATGATATACATAAAGTAAAAATACAGCTCAAGATACAATATTCAGATTAAATTTTATTAGTACGCCAATAAAAGGTATTAAATGTGAATAATGAAATGATTAATATCGGCAATTAACGATTAGATAATAAGAGGAAAAATTATTATTTATTATTATTGTTTATTATAATTATTAAAATTATAACTTATAATTATAATTACCATCATAAATTACGGGAAAAAATTATTTCTAATTCCAAGGTGGGTTTACAATTGAAGTTTGTAGAATATTTAAAACGACAACAATAAATGAACAACATTGAATGAATGAATGAATGAATGAATGAATGAATGAATGAATGAATGAATGAATGGATAAACAAATGAATTAATAAATAAATAAATAAGATAAAAAAAAGACAACGAAAACACCAACAACATCAACGACAGAAGAGATTGTACAAAAGCATTAATAATAACAATAATAACAATAACAGAAACAAAAAATAATAATTAACATAATTAGCTAAAAACAACAAAAAAAGAAGAAAAATAATTGCATAATTTAAAGCAACTAAACTATCCTAAACTCACACACACACACAAAACACACACACACACACCACGCATACACAAATATATATATATATATAACAACATTATGCATTTTATGAACATGGCATGGTCATTTTTAAATTATATATATATATATATATATATATATATATATATATATATAAATATAACAGAGCATGAGTAAGGGCATTTAGATAAATGTATAATATAAAACAATTTTTAGCAATATAAAGAAATACACACTCACACACACACATACACACAGACAGACATATATATCTATACATATATATCTGAAAGGTAACAACTACAATTAGTTTCGGGGATTGCCAATTGGAGTCCGCAAGGAGGATTCTCGAAGGATGGTGACTTTGTGCTTCGTAAATTCGTTCTGAAAGGAATATGAGGAGGTTTTCAGTTTCATCTAAAACAATCTGGAACTCACTGTCTGAAGATCTGAAGGAGAGGAATTCAAAAGGAACGTTTGAAACATCATCTGTATTGACATTCTTGATGGGGGATAGCGCTCCTGAAGCCATTCAACAGAAGCGGATTCAACAAATCCCTCCAGACGGATACAGATATGTATATATATATAACATTTATTACTATTGTAAACGAAAAATTTGTACGAATGTTAAATAACTCACAAATCGTGACAATTATTACGAATGTAAATAGAACTTTCTTTTATTAATTAATCAATCAGTCAATCAATCAATCAACCAATTAGTCAATCTATCAATCAGCCAATCAACTAATCAATCAATCAATCAGTCAACTAATCAAAACATCAACTCACACATCTACTGCAAACTCCGGCAAGCAAACATTAATAAAACAAAAGAGCACTATGTAACATTGATTAGGATACACTTACATAGCAAATATCATTAATAATATCAGCAACAATCATCATATCATCATCATTATTATTAATATTATCTTTAAAACCATTATTATTATTATTATTATTATTATTATTAGTTTATATCTCTAATAAACAATCAACGAATAGATACATTAGTAGAAGAAACCATATGTATTTAGTAACAAATGACACCAACACATTATCAACAACAACAAACAAACAAAAGCAATAATAAATAATAATTATTATGACATATATTATCATTATTATTCATAATTTTTCAAATTTATTCCAAAAAAAAACTTTGCAGAAAAAAAAACTAGCTCATAAACCATATATGTACGTACATACGACTTATATGTATACATTTAAAACACAGATAAACACAATTGTTATACATCATGTGTACAGAGTATATACACGTGTGTGTGTGTGTGTGTGTGTGTGTGTGTGTGTGTGCGTGCGTGTAGTTACATTTATGAACGTGTGTGCGTGTAATATGTGGAAGACGTTGGAATAAAAATAAAATGTCATCTGCTCCTCACAGCCATTTTGATGACGCTAACAACAACAACAATAATAATAACAATAATAGTAATATTAACAATAATAACAATGATAATAATAATGAATATTTTAATAGAAAAAGCATGAAAATAAAACAAACGAATGGAAAAAAACAGTTAATAAGTTAATCATGAGATCAAATAAGAACTTAAAACTATAGAAAGCAGAAGTATAGAGAAAAACTTTGATATACGTGTATACACTACTACCGCCCACATACACACATACACACACACACACACTCGCACGCACACACACACACACTCACACAGTATACAATGGTTCAACAATTAATCTTCATCGTCATCATCATGATAACGATACAACACTAATAACAATAAAAAACAACAGATGAATAAAATTTATACAATTAACCCATTAATTAACATCAATTAACATTAATTAATCAATTATCTAACAATTAATCAGTTATTCGTTTGACGTTAATGTATGTATCGTTAGTATAAGCAATTATTATTATTATTATTTTCATCATCATCATCTGATCAATATATCATCACCATGCATAAGAATTGGACATGGAGGAATCCTACTTCCTACCATCATCATCACCACCATCATCATCATTATTATTATTACCATTAGCGTTATCAGTATCATCATTGTCATCATCATCATCGTCAACATCGTTCATGCGATCATTATCATGGCCGACGGCTCTGCCACCGTTATCGCCATCATGGTTGGCTTTGAAACTTGATGAGAAATTGATGTGATTGTCATGGATGTTGTTGTTGTTGCTGTTGTTGTTGCTAGCGTTGTAGGGGTAACTATTATCAGTACCGCCGCTGTTTATGTTGAAGTTGTTGTTACTGTTGTTGTGCATCACGTGATCTGTTGTTGTTGTTGTTGTTGTTTGTTGTTGTTGATGTCATTGTTGATAGTCGTTGTTGTTTGTTGCTGATGTTTGTGTCATTTGATAAAGGCAATGATGAAGTGATGTAAGTCAATGGATGACAATTAAAAACCTGTTATCAATAAACAAACGAACGAACGAACGAGCGAACGAACGAACGAAAGAATGAATGAATGATGAATGAATCAAAAAATTATTCATCATCACCATCATCGTTGTTATCATCCCGATCGCGTCTATCGGTCACATTGTTGCTGACGTTGCCATCATCATCATCATCCCCATCATCATTATCGTAACCATCATTTTTGCGACTGACAACGGCATCCTTATCAGGAGGACAGTCGTTATCATTATCATCATCGTCCGGCTGCTTTGTGGAACTCTCGCTTAGAGAGTTATGATCACAATCGAATGTCTGAGGAGAGAAAGTGGAGTGAAAGAGAGGGAAAGATAGAGATATGAAGAAAAATATATTGGGGAGAGAGAGAGAAATGAAAGAGAGAAAATAGAAATAAAGAGAATGAAAATGATAAGCCTTGTATAAAATAAATATAAATAAGGAAACAACAAGGACAACAAACAACAACACATAAGCTACCAAAAACCAACAGCCATAGCAAATCACAAACAGCCACAGCAAACCACAAACAGCCACAGCAAACCACAAACAACTACAGCACACCACCAACAACCACAACAAGCCACCAACAACCACAGCAAGCCACCAACAACCACAGCAAACCACCAACAACCACAGCAAGCCACAAAGAAAAACTAACAGTGGATGTAGGGGTCGAAGTCTCCGATCTGGAATCGCTCCTCTTAAATCCCCCAGCCCTGTCAGGCGAGTACGACGATTGTTGGTAGTTAGATGAACCCCCTAATCCGCCCAATCCCGCCACATTAGTAGAATTATTACTGTTACTATTATTATTGCTGTTGGGTTTCATTTTCTTGGCTTTAGTGGGGCCATCTTGATTGTTGGCGTCAACTATTGGCTGGAGGATTCTACGGCGGGCATTTATGAACCTAGTTCGTGTTGGTGGTCAGTGCTTGGTTGGTTGGTTGTTTGGTTGGTTGTTTGGTTGGTTGTTTGGTTGTTTGTTTGGTTGGTTGGTTGATAGTTTGTTAATTTATAGTTGAGTGAATGTTTAATGGGTTGAACAAAGAATAAAAAAGAAGGATTGAAGAAAAAAAGAACAAACAATCATAATAAACAAACAATAAAGAACAGAAAACAAAGAAGAAGGATTGAAGAGTGAATAACAAAGAATGAAAAGACAAAGAGAGCAAACCAATTGTTGACTTGGAGAGCACTGAGATTCGTATGATCTGCCAGGGACTTCTTTTCTTCTTCAGTTGGATAGGGATGCTACAAAAACATCAATCAATCAATCAATCAATCAATCAATCAATCAATCAATCAATCAATCAATCAATCAATCAATCAATCAATCAATCAATCAATCAATCAATCAACCATCAATCAGTCATCAATCAGTCATCAATCAATCAATCAACCAATCAATCAACCAACTAATCAATCAGTTAACCAATCAATAAATAAATCAATTGATCAATCAATCAGTCACCAACTAACTAACCAGACAGCCACCCAACTAACCAGCAAATGTTTGAAGAGCCACGTCTTCAAGACCCTCGTGGCCTGTTTAGGTAGGATGCCCCTCTTGGTTTTTGTCTTCTGATCATAGTCCCCGTCATCTAGGGCCTCAAGGGATGCAATGATTGAAGGGCTCACTGGCAGGCAAGGTTTGAAATATAGTTTTAAGGGAATTTTTAAGGGGTAACATCTACAACAACATAAATTTAATTACACAAATATAACAACATTCAACAAGACTAACAACAGCATAACACAGGAGTCGCATTCCCAACAACAAAACAAAAACAACAACAAACCTCCAGCCATTCCAGACATTCCTAACGATAGAAAGTTGGACTGTTGCATATGTAGTTGTTGTTGGTCGGACTGCTGTTGCTCCAACAGCATGAAATCGTGTGTTGTTGTTTGAGGAGGTTGTTGCTGCTGTGGTGGTGGGGGTACAACCGGCGGGTACAATTGCTGCATACCACTCTAAACGTGTATGTGCGTTTGCATGTATGTGTGTATGTATTTCATACATACATACAAACACACATACACGAACACATACATATACACATACACACACACACTCACACACATACAAGCCAACTCACACCTGCACGTCATCCAGTTTATTTTTGTGCCTATAAAATGATGAGTCATCAATAGGTGGCTGGTCATGATGATGATGATGATCCTGGAAGTGTGGGTGATGTGATGATGGGGGTGGTGCTGGAAGCCCCCTCATTTCCATTGATCTGCCCATCCCTACATCTGGGGGCTATGAATATTAATCAGATGATTAATATTAACATAAATAAGCATATTAAAATATAAATGTAGAAATGCTATCTAAAACTGAAGATGATTACAAGATTGAAAACTTCATATTTCGAATGTGAATAATAAAAAAGAATTTTCCTTTTAAAACTTTTTGAAAAGCGAAAACGAAAAAACAAATTCTTCACCATGCCCATGGAATCTCTCGATGGCGCTGAATGCTGTTGCTGCTGGGGCACTCGGATGTCCCCGTAATTTATCTGCTGCCCACCACTACCATTATTAATATGACCACCACCACCGCCAGCAGCTACGCTGTTGTTGCTGCTGTTACCACTGCCACGATTGTATGCAACTTCATTTGGTGGCTGTAGGATGATGTCGTTGGAGTCGGATTCAAATGCATCGATGTGCAGGAGTTGTTCGTTCTGGAGTTTCGTTCGTAGGCAGGAGATGTATCTGGTGCAGAAGTCCTTGCAGAGTTCATTCACTTTGTCCAACTCTAAGAGGTGGATCCAGAGGATTTGGATAGCTTTGATCATCTGTGTGTGTGTGTGTGGTTGTGTGTGTGTGTGTTTGTGGTATTTGGATGTTTGCACTTTTAAATCAATGTAGTGAGAGTTTATTCATTAATAACTAGCTTACTAAATCTCCAAAATTAATCCACAAATCAAATGGATGCTATGATTTGTAAATTAGTTGTAATGACTCTTCTATTGAATAGCAAGCTAAACACACAAAAACCAGTCTTGAAAATTATTTAAAAAAAATTTCACAGAAACATACAAGACTGTCAACTTCGGGTCTCTCCCCAATCGATTGTTCAAAATCAACGAGTCGCTGCTGGTGGTGATGTACAAATGACTGTATGTCAACTTTCAGATTGGCCACCAGGGGACAGTCAGGAGTCTGTGTGACTTGCTCACACCTCTCAAACAACAGTGCCATCAGTGGGAACAATGGATGTCTGTAACATCCATATGTAATTCAGTATAGAAAAAACCCTAATCTAAGTTTTGTATCACTAATTTATTAGATATTTAAAAAATTATGCATTTGTTTATGTTATATAAATTATAATTTTATAATATAATATAGTTTGAGTTGAATAGTATTGGTTTTACTTACTATTCAAATTCATTAACCTACACTTGCATTATAGATTAAGAATTTAGTTTAATATATTTCAGTTTAGTCTTCAGTCCAATGAATAAATTTCAGAACAAGTTTATGGATTTTTAATGAAATTAATAAATTTATTATATTATTAAATAAAAAATTGCATATTAAAGAACAAAAATGAAAATGCATTGCCATTCAATGCAATTACCACATCACAATCAATGTTTTTCTTTGTCTACTAAAAAACTTTAATTTTAGTTAATTAATTAATATTAAAATAAATAAGAAATTAAAATATCAAATAACTTACTTGTAGATGGACCTCTTGTCTGACTCAGACGGCTCAATCATGGCTGACATTTGTAATTTGGATATATGATAAAAAAAAGAATCACCAATCAAAAAGAAATATATGAAAATATTTTTCAACTTTTAAAATTTAATTTTAAATTTTGTGTTCATTTGAGAGAAAAAAATTTTATCTTGAAACGGGCGTTAAAATAAATTAGAAAAATGATCGAATAGTGCTTTTTAAAAGCAATTAAAGCGAGTTTTATTTAAAATTGTCTGTAAGAAAATCGCGGACAGGTAGAAATTAGGAAAGTAATTAATTAATTTAACATAATCGATCAAGCTCTTTAATAATCAATAAATTAAATTCAAAATGGAGGAAAGTGTTGTGCTCGTCTGGAAATAATAATTGGGGAATGGAGAGGTTTCATCTTTATTCTAAGTATACTGCTCAATTAACTCAATTCAGGATGATTTTATGGCTATTATTTTATAGCATTTTCAGTGAATTTATGATTTAATATTTTTAATTTCTCGTGTAGAGATCGTTTAACACCATTCATTTGGTGATTTCGTCCAATTTTGTTCTCTTGGCTACTAAATCTGTAGTATTTAATTGACATTAAGACTTCAGTTAGCTTTATTTTAACTATTTTAAACAATAGGTTTTTATTATTTTTCAAAAAATAACACAAAATTGCTTTTGAAAGCCTTTTTCCAGCAAACAGAAGACAACGATCTGATAGTTTGCTTTTGCTAATATCTCAAATATCTCAATTCAATCAGATAACATTTTTAATATGTAAAAATCTTGTATGCAATTAATTTAATATGATGTACGAAAATATATATTTAACAAATGCTAACCAGCATTTCAATTACAAGAAAATATGACACGACGCTCTCAACAGACGATCATGAAATGAAAAGATTTTATTCATTCAATTACGAACAGTGTTAGATACTGAAACACCCATCAATACGAATTAACTTTTTATTGATTTTGAAAAATTTGAACCATCATGTAGCAGCCGAATGAAGAAAACGTGCCAATCATCTTAAAACATTTGATAATATTCATTTCTTTAACATAAATATCTCTAATTTTTAATAAAAATTGCTAATTACAAGGCTTTATTCCTCTTCTTCAGCGGCCGCGTCGTGGTGTGCATCTTCGTGAGCTGGTTCGCTGCCTGTCAAATCGGCTGCATGGCGTTGGCCTCCGAAACTCTGACCGGCTTGGCTGGCTCCCTTGTTCGAACCGGCTTGAAGACCGACGATGCCGGAGCTCTCGGCACTGAGTTCTTCGACTTTCAAGTCGGCACCGTGGCGCACAGCTCCGAAAGACATTCCATGCTGGTTGGCGCACTGGTTTGTTCCCATCTGCAATCCGATGACGGCTGAACCTTCTTTTGAAACATCATCGGCCCTGATGTCTGCGACGTGACGTACTCCTCCGAAACTCATTCCTGCTTGGTTGGCGAACTTGTTTGTACCTGCCTGCAAGCCCACTAAAGCTTGACCTAAAGGTTTGGGTTTCATAATGAAAAACATAACAGACTCATTAAAGATTTATAATGTTCGTATAAGTTTTCAACGCTGAAAAGTCTTACCTTCCCTGCATAGATCATCGGCTCTAATGTCAGCAACGTGTCTCACACCACCAATCACGATTCCTGATTGTGTGGCGAATTTGTTGGTTCCTGCCTGCAGACCGATGACCGTCTGTCCGTCCTTGTCGACGTCATCGGCGCGGATGTCTGCGGCGTGACGGACTGCCCCGATAGAGGTCATGCCGGCCTGAGAAGCGAATTTGTTCGATCCAGCTTGCATTCCGATGACGGTCTGTCCTTCCTTGGTCAAATCATCGGCTCTGATATCAGATCCGTGCCTCACACCGCCGATAACAATTCCGGCTTGAGTGGCGAATTTGTTTGATCCGGCCTGCAAACCGATCAAACCGTGAGCATCCTTGGACATATCGACGACTTTGATATCGGATCCGTGTCTCACGCTACCGATTCTCATACCGGCCTGGGTGGCGTAGCGGTTGGTACCGGCCTGCAAGCTCAGTTCTTTGTTGCTCTCTTTGTTCAAGTCATCGGCGCGGATATCGGCGCAGTGCCTGACGCTGCCGATGCGCATGCCCTTCTGTGTGGCGTATTTGTTGGAGCCCGCCTGCAGACCAACGATCCCATGTCCCTGACGCAGGACATCTTTGTTGAAGTTACGCTTGTTCTCCGCCGTGAATTTTGGACCGATGGTAGGGCCGGAGAATCCGTGTCTTTGAGCCTTTACAAGTTTCGTGTTAACAATTAACATTGGTGATGTTATATCGTAACATTTCATTGTGGGCGTCAGACGATGAAATGACGTCAGACGAATAAATAATAAATCACCACAATGTAAAAACGTTCAATTGAAAGTTTGGCCGCCTACCTCACTGCCAAGAATCTGGAGACACGAGATGACCTGAGGAAGATTCCTCCCTTCGTACAAATCAACAGTGTGGAAGATGCCAGTTTTTGGGACGCCGTAGTTTTGACAGAATGCCAAAAATGTCTGAATGTTTTCCATCTGGCGGGGATTTTTTTTTATGACAAATTATTTTTATCAAATATTTAAACTTACAATAGCAAAATGCCATTTAACTTTTTTCGAAAATATTCATTTTATTGCATTTAAAAATTTAACAAAAATTATATTTTAAATACTACACCTGTTTGTACGGGATGTCTTGTGTGTTCAATCTGATCGTCTGCTTCTTGGCTTTGGCGGGAGCATTTGGGCTGTCTTTCTGCAGAAGTCTGGCCAGTCTAGTGAGTAAAAATAGACGATATAATTATTTTTATTATGTTAATATAATTATGACCGCCATTCATAATTATTATTCGTAATATTATGATTATTACTTTCATCCCAAACTAACAATATTCATCATAACAAAATTGAAACAAATAATAAAAAAAATTTAAAAAAAAGAGCAAAGAATCATTAACAATAGCAACAACAACATCAACAAAACAACAACATCAACAAAACAACAACA